AGCTAAGGACCACTGAATAGCACTGGCCTTGCAGTGAGTGCCCCAGCTCCTAGAGGTGGCGTGGCTGTTGTCTGGCTAAAATTTGAGCCCAGAATCAGTTTACTAGCTGAGCGCCCACGGCTGAGAGGGGCTGGGCTCTCTAGCGCTCCAGGCACCGAGAGGGGGAGCAGAGTCTCGCCTGGCATTTCAAGTCGGTCAGGTTCCACCTCCTCCTTTCTCTCTATCCTGATCCCCTCGGGCAGCTGCCTAGAGCCCTGCTCCTTTGCATCCCGCCGCCCGGTGAGGCCGGGTGTGTTAATCATGGCCCCTGGGCAGAGCCAGGAGAGGAGAATGACTGTGCTAATGTATTGCGAGGGTCTCCTTGCTACGTGTGGTATTTGGGGCTGGTCCCCCTGGAACAGAAGTCCCATTCCCACGCACATTGAAGGGAAATCAACACATCACTGTTGCCTCTGGGGACTCCCCTGTTCATGGGGCTCTGCTCTGGGGGACGGGGCCAGGAGGGATCCACTCCCTGTAGGAGGTGGGATGGGGGGGTGCATGACTGGAGTGGCAGGTACCTTGATGGAGTCGGGGGCACTCCCAGGGCATCAGCTGGGGGGGCGCCTCTGTCTCCTGTTGGGTACTGACCTGCAGGTCTGTTTGTGAACAATGGCCATGCAGGAATGGCTGGCCGGGGTGTGGTGCGCACACTGTGGGTGGGGAGCAGGGGCTGGCTGTGGTGTGCTGAGCACGCACTGTGCCTCGCCTGCCAGAGGCGAGTGCCCGTTGCTATGGTTAAGGTGGAGTCACTTGTTCCATTATACACCTAGAGTTTCAGGGGGTTAGATTTCGGGGGAGATTCCGGAGCGCCACTCTTCTGGGCTGGCTCACTGTTTAGATTAGGGTGCAGCCTTCGGGAGATCTGGACTAAAGCAAGAGGAAGGTGCTGTTCGGTCCCAGGCCACTGGTTTGCTACTTCAGTTCCTTGGGGGTTGAACTGGAGCACATGTGGCTTTTTCTCGACCTTGATGACGGTGCACAATTAGCTTGTGGAACTCGCTGCCACTGGAGGTCACTGAGTTGAGTGAGGCTCAAATTGAGTTAAATGTTCATATGGACAGCGAGGACACCCCCAGTGACACTAGATGGAATGAAAAACGTGTAAGGAGTCCTGACCGTTCTCGGAGAAAAGGCGACAGGACTTGCTAGGCCACTGGTCTGATTCGGCCCGGCAGTTATTTATGTGCAGTTTTGTAGCACGTTGCAATTCACCCACAAAATGTGGTTACAGGCCACACCAGTGCAAGCCCTTTCCCCGTATTACAATGAGACTTCTGCTAAATCTAAGTGTGGTATTAAAGTGATCATCCGGAGTTTGCTCTGAAGCAGGGAGAGAGAACAGGTCTGGCTCAAATAACAACACCCTGTAACATTCCTCCCGGTCTCCCCTCTGCACCAGGCTGCCAGAAGTGTATGTTCCCCTAGGGCCCCGTGACCCATCTAGAACCTCCCCACGACCAGGTGGGTCGGGACCCACGTTTGGGAAATGTTGTTCTCAAGGGACAGGGCTTTAAAACCAGCCTTAAATTGAATCCACACAGCAATCTCCCTCCTGCTAATGAGGTGCATGGGACTGCCGGACATTGGGAGAGACGTGGGTAATGTTTCTGCTTCACTGTGTGGAAGTTCGGAACCCAGAGGTTGCTCTAAAGGGGACATTCGGGTAACATCCCAGCAGCAGCCTTTCTCCTGGAAACAAAATGAAGGAATGAACAGCAAAAGCCCCTGCCTTCGAATAGTGTGAAAAGTTATGCCACAAAACTAGGGTGACCAGATGTCCTGTTTTTAAAGGGACAGTCCCATTTTTTGGGAGTTTTTCTTATATAGGCGCCTATTACCCCCCACCCCCTGTCCTGTTTTTTCAGTTGCTATCTGGTAACCCTACACAAAACCACATATGCAACAACGCAAAATCCCCCCAAAAGACATTCCATTGCACATGGGTCTCTCCCTGGGGAGAGGATGAGGGAGCACACGGGACAGCTGGTAGTCACGTGACTGGATTAGACACCTAACTTCCATGGATTTCAGGTAAGCACCGATATAGAACAGAGTATGTTATTAGACACACTTTCTAGTCAACCACCTCACTAGCCCCTTCTCTCCACCATCTCTCTTTGTCTCTCTGTCACACACTCTCTCTCTCTCACTTGAATTCAATGAGTCTTTTTTTGGCCAGGCAAGCTTGAATGGAAATTGTGAAGGTGTAGAAAAGAACCCCCCCCAGATCTTTTGTGTAGAGGTCGGTAACATCTGCACTCTCAGGCATAGGTGCTGGATCTAGGGGTGCTGCTGCACCCCCTGGCTTGAAGTGGTTTCCATTAGATACAGGCTTTACAGTTTGGTTCAATATGGCTCTCAGCACCCCCACTATATACATTGTTCCAGCCCCCCTGTTCTCAGGGCTTGTCTGTACTTACAGCTCCGCTGTAGCACTTATTGAAGATGTCGTCTATGCTGACGGGAGAACTTCTCCGGTGGTACTCCACCTCCCTGAGAGGCAGTAGCTACGTCCATGGCAGAAGCCCTCCCGTCACCATCGCGCTGACTACACCGGGGTTAAGTGTGGCTTTTCCACACCCCGAGTGACATAGTTATACCTACACACGTTTGTAGTGTAGATCAGGACTCAGACGCTCACCTGTACGCACACAGCGTTCCAGGCAAATTACCTTTCTCTGATCACTGCCGTTGTTTTATAGTTACTTAGGGGCTTGCTTTGTTGACCATTACGTATGAACTTGGAAATGAAACCCGAGTCAGTTTCTTGGTCACATATTTGCTTATTGCACAGTAAAACTTTGCCAAAGCTTGGATTTCAGTTCAGCTCTGAGGCATTGTTTCCTGGTGTGAGGTTAGAGAGAGATCAGATTAGATATACACACACAGGGAGAGAATGCACATAATAGCTCTGGCTATGCCAGTGTAAAGTTAGTCTCACGCTTGGTTTTGCTTCATTGGGTGATGGCAACCCGTAGAAACACTAGTGTAGATAAGGCAACTGTATAGGTGACAGTCAGACCGATTCAGTGGTTGAACCCCACCCTGGGAGGAAAATACAATAGATCTTTTCCCTTACAGATAATAACAGAAGAACACAGGAGCTGCAATATTGGATCAGACCATGGTCCATCTAGCCCAGTATCCTGTCTCTGACAGTGGCCCATACCACAGCTTCAAGGGGGACTGTACAGAACAGGGCAGTTTTGGAGTGATCCATCACTGTCTTCCACTCCTGGCTTCTGGCAGTCAGAGGTTTAGGGTGGCCCCGAGCATGGGGTTCCATCCCTGACCATCTTGGCTAATAGCCATTGATGGACCTATCCTCCATGAACTCCCAGTTATACTTTTGATCATCACTATGTCCCATGGCAATGAGTTCCACGGGTTAGTTGTGCTTTGCGTGAAAAAGCACTTTGTCTTGTTTGTACTCAGTCTAATTGCATCAGGTGACCCCCAGGGTTTGGTATTGTGTGAAAGGGTAAATAACACTTCACTATTCACTATTTTCACACCATTCGTGCTTTTATAGACCTCTATCATCTCCCCCCCTGAGTCATCTCTTTTCTAAGCTGAATGGGCCCAGTCTTTTTAAACTTTCCTCATATGGAAGCTATTCCAGACTCCTAGTCAATTTGGTTGCCTTTTTCTGTACCTTTTCCAGTTCTAATATATCTTTTTTTGAGATGGGATGACCAGTACTGCATGCAGTATTCAAGGTGTTGGCTGTACCATGAATTTATATAGTGGCATTATGATATTTTCTGTCTTATTTTCTATCCCTTTCCTAACAGTTTCTAACGTTTAGCCTTTTTGACCACAGCTGTGGATTGAGCAGAAATGTTCAGAGACCTCTCCATGGTGATTCCAAAAATCTCTTTTGTGGGTGGTAATAGCTAATTTAGACCCCAGCATTGTGTATGTATAGCTGGGATTTTTTTCCCCAAGGTGCGTTACTTTGCACTTCTCAGCATTGAATTTCATCTGCCGTTTTGTTACCCAGTCACCCAGGTTTGTGAGATTTCTCTGTAACTCAAGATAGGCTATCGCTAAAGAGAGGCTCAAGCCACAAAATGCTGATCCAGATCCCAGCTGAGATTTCAGACATCCCCCCAAATTCATGTGTGTTTGGCAGTAGGATTTTGGCGTGGGGCCCATTCTAGTGAGATAACAATGTTGGATTGTTAACTGTATTGACGTACATCTCTCTGCTATAGGTGGGAAGTTATTTAAGATGCCACCACATTAGACCGTGTTTCCGACGGTGAAAAGATATGGTTGGTTTGACAGCGTGTTAGTCATTCCCCGTCTGAATCTATTTCTGATACAATTGCCGTGTCAGGAAACTGGACACACCGGGAAGATTTTAAGTCTATGCATGATACATTTTAGGATCCATGGACAATGCCACCATCACTCAGGCCCGGAAGGTGGGCGTTATCGTTGACTCAGACCTCTTCCCTAGATCTTTGCATCCAGGCGGTGTCTAAATCTGGCCCTTTCTTGCTGCACAACGTCTCTAAGGGCTGGTCTACACTAGAAAGTCACTCCAGGGGTGTGGAAAATCCACCCCCTCCCAGAGATTAAGCCCACCTAAGCCCCAGTGTAGACAGCGCTAGGTTGCTGGAAGAATTATTCAGGCGTTGGTGCTGATGGGAGCCCCTCCCAGGAAGTGATCCACTTGGGGACGATGGGCCCCAGCCGTAAGTCTCCCGGCGCCCAGCGGGCATCTGCGGCCAGGAAAGCAAAATGGCAGGAGGGCCTGGTGTGGGGAGCTCGTTCCCAGCGACTGAGCGATAACCACCCATGACTCCTGGCCCGTCGCCCTTTGACATGGCGCTGCCCAGGCTGTCGCTGGGACAGGGGGCAGAGCCCGTTGGTGGCCTGGGCCCCGGGGCAGCAGTCCTGCCAGCCCAGCAGCTGAAGAGTTAAAATACCTGCAGCCCAGGCTCCACCTCAGTGAGTGGAGGGGAGGAAAGAGCAGGAGGCCAGTGAGCATAGAGGGCTCTGTGTGCAAGCGGCAGGCAGGGAGGAGGGCAAAGCCAAGCCAGCCAGCCTGCCCTGTGAGCTCCCACAGCAGTGTAGCCCCAGGACGAGGAAGGAGGGAGCCTCTCAGGATCGCAGCCGGTTCCAGCAGCACCGCTAGGTTCTCAGCCTCCGCGCCCAGCATGTTCCAGTGGTGAGTGCGCCAGGGCTTTCTGCGGATCTCCCAGAAAGCCGGGAGGGAGATGGGGGGGCAGATCAGCGCCCCCCACTTTTCTCTCTGCTGCAAAGACCTGGCTGCTCAGCTGGGCCGATCCGGGCTCTGCCTCGCCCTGCCCTCGCAGCGGCTCGGGGCGAAGCGCTTGGAGAGGCGCGTTCCGCCGGGGGTGAGCTCCGGGTACCGGGTTCGGGGGGGGGCCCTCGGGGGGTTCCGTGCGCCCCCCCGCCAGGTACAGCGGGGAGCGCGGCTGCAAAGGGGGCTGGGTGAACACGGGGAGCCAGGCTGGGGGACTCGGCATGTGCTGCTCGCCTGTCCGATCCTCCGGGGCTCGCGTGCGTCTCCCTCGCCTCCATCCCCAGCGCGGCTCGGCTCGGCTCGGCCCCGAGAGCGAAGCCCCCCAAGGGACCTGGCGGAGCCGGGGCTGCTCCCTCTTGGGGACCAAAGCGGGGCTCGGGTTGGGGGGTGTTTGGCTGATCGGTGCCCCTGTGTCTGTCCCCCCCCCGCATCCTAGCAGCCGCCCAAGGGCGCCGTGGAGTTTCCCCGCGGGCTGGCTCTGGGGAAGGTAAAGGCACTGGGGGGGGGAGTGTCCAAACCCAGCCAGCCAGCGCTCAAGCGATCCGTTCCCCTCTGGAGGGACTTGGGGGGGCACATCTCCCCCTCCCCCCAGATCAGCCCATCTCCTTCGTTGCAAACTGTACCGGCATTCCTGTGGGACCGGGGCGCGGCTCAGTGCAGGACACGGCTGCCCGTTCGAGGAGTTGGGGGGGGGGGGGATCAACCCGCCCCGCAACAGTGGCAATTAATTGGTTATTCCAGCAGCTCCGTCCGTGGAGCCGGGGAGGTGCCGGTGCGGGGGCCCCACTAGGACGTAGTTTTCCTGACTTTTTTTTTCAGCGTCAAATCTCTCTCCCTTCATTTAACCTTAAGGCAGGGACATGTCAGCAGAGAGCCCTGGGCTACCACTAACCGGCTGGCCATCGCGGGGCCTGTCGGCAAGTCATTGCCCCTCCTGGCTTCCGCGGAAGAGGAAAGGGCATGAAATACCCTCACCTGCCGGGCCAGGAGCCAATGGGACTCGAACTTCTAGTCTGGAACCCTTGGGTTCTAGATCTGATCCCACGAGCTCCCCAGGCCCCAGGTGTGATTGGCTGGGAGATCCTTGTGTTCTCCGGGGCAGAGCCCGCTTGATAACTGAATCTAAACGAGGAATTAAAAAAGAGAGAGATTCCAGGCCAGTCAGAGGGGGGTTTCATGGCAATGGAAAGCCTGCCTGTCTCCCCAGAGACTTTATTTTTATGGATGGACTCACTGGGGGGAGAGTTTCCATTCCATACAGGGCCAGCATCCATAATGGGAACTGTTTGTTCTTAATCGGGTAATTAGATGGATAAAGGCTTGGACTAGATGCCGAGGTGGCATGACTCACCCAAAGGTGTGTCCTACAAGCTGGGGGAGACCAAAGAAGAGGCAAGTGAGAGCTGAGTTTGGCCAATGTAAAGCACCCCTTCCTGGGGAAGAGTTTGATCTCAGGTGGGTTTCCTACTGGTGTGGCTCCACTGACTTAGAATCATAGAATCAGCGAAGCTACTCCTGAATTACAGGGGTATGAGTGAGATCAGAATCCGGCCTCAGGTAACAGCTTTTCCTGCTCTCCCTCCCCCTCCCTCAGTGTGTGAGTTTCACCTGCACAAAAACAACCTGGAGTCTGGTGGCATCTTAAAGGCTAACAGATTTATTTGGGCATAAGCTTTCGTGGGTAAAAAACTCACTTCTTCAGATGCATGGAGTATAAATTACAGAGAGAGGCATAAATATATATTGGCACATGGAGAAGGGTGTTATCTTATAAGTGGAGAACCAATTTTGAAGACCAATTTAGACAGGATGGATGTGGTCCACTGCCAATAATTGATGTGGAGGTGTCAATACCAAGGGTGGGGAAATTGCTTTTGTAGTGAGCAAGCCACTCCCAGTCCCTATTCAAGCCCCAATCGATGGTGTTGTTTGTAAATGAATTGTAGCTCAGCAGTTTCTCTTTGAAGTCTGTTTTTGAAGTTGTTTTGTTGCAGGATGGCTACTTTTAAATCGGTTATTGAGTGTCCAGGAAGATTGAAGTGTTCTCCTACTGGCTTTTGTACGTTACCATTCCTGATGTCTGATTTGTGTCCATTTATCTTTTTATGCAGAGACTGTCCGGTTTGGCCAATGTACATGGCAGAGGGGCATTGCTGGCACATGATGGCACGTATCACATTAGTAGATATGCAAGTGAATAAGCCTCTGATGGTGTGGCTGGGTCATATGATGGTGTCGCTAGAGTAGATATGGGGGCAGAGAAGGCAACGTGGTTTGTTGGGGATTGATTCCTGGGTTAGTGTTTCTGTGGTGTGATGTGTAGTTGATGGTAAGTATTTGCTTCAGGTTGGGCGGCTGTCTGTAAGCGAGGATTGGGCCTGAAATGGTGGGGCGTTCAGCTGTACAGAATGCAACGCCATCCACAGCCTCAGAAACAACTCTGACATTATAATCAAAAGTGCTGACAAAGGAGGTGCTGCAGTCATCATGAACAGGTCGGATTATGAACTGGAGGCTGCCAGACAACTCGCCAACACCACATTCTACAGGCCACTATCCTCCGGTCCCACTGAGGAATACCAAAAGAAACTACACCATCTGCTCAAGAAACTCCCTGCTACAGCACGGGAACAAATCTACACAGACACACCTCTAAAGCCCCGACCAGCGGTATTCTATCTGCTACCCAAGATCCATAAACCTGGAAACCCTGGACGCCCCATCATCTCAGGCATTGGCACTCTTACAGCAGGATTATCTGCTTATTTGGACTCTCTCCTCAGACCCTACGCTACCGGCACTCCTCGCTATCTTCGAGACACCACTGACTTCCTGAGGAAACTACAATGCATCGGTGATCTTTCTGAAAACACCATTCTGGCCACCATGGATGTAGAAGCTCTTTACACCAATATTCCACACGAGG